CTTGGAATTGGTGATCTGAATTATTTCGTATCTCGTTGAGTTTTTTCAGAAATGCGATCTTGAACACTCTGTCATTTAAGTCGCATATTTCTATGTCTTTAAGCTTATTTTCTGGAGATTTTTCTCTTTCTTTCTGAGATGCCTTGTCACCTTGGTTGTTCTTGGTGTTTAATAGACTATTTCTCCACCTGGGCATTAATGGAAGTGTATTCTGCTTTTTTTCCAGAAAGAAGATTTATTATATAAAGGTCTATCGTTTTAGCCTGTTACAAAGGCGTTTTTATTTTGGTTTCCAGTAGGTGGTGTCTAAGCCTCTGCTTTATACAAAGTTTTAATAATGCCATTTTCCCCCTTTATATATAGATGTTTAATCACGCTCGCTACCCTCAGTCTCAGTCCCTGTCAGTGTTAGCAACAGTTTTGGTAGTGTTTGCTCAGATTCCCCTGGGGCTCTGAGGTGTTTGGTCTTGGAGGATATAGGGGGAGGGGCCTTTTGGGTTGGGAAAAGGGTGCTGTGGCTCAGCCTTGCATTTTGCAATCACAACTGGTAATAATCAACTGTTGTTTCTCTGCCGTCCCCGTTTCTCTGCTGTCCCCACTTCTCTGCTTTCTGCCCTGATCCCTGGGCACTGCCACTGGCCTCGTGGAGCTCACAGCTCTCCCAGGCAGGGTTGTTCATGGAACCCAAAGCATCTTCTTCCCTCCCCCTTCTCCTGCAGGGAGCTCCAGCTGCAAGAGGCAGCTTCTTTGTTTCTCCCAGTGTACCACTGGACTCCCGGGGTTCTGACCTATGGTAACTCTTATGCAGATTGCACACTCAGACATGCTGGTGTGCAGTTTGGGTATTTTTTGTTGAGTTTTAGATGTTCAGCTTGTTGTTGTATTAAGGGGAGAGATCTGGGGATGCCTCTCACTCTGCCATGTTTCTTTTGTGGGGTTTTAAAACATTTATTTCACCCTAAGTTTGCTAAAACAATAAACTTAAGAAACTTTATGAAAAAAATAAGAACTTAAAAATTATTTTTTAACATAAAATCATAATATACGTACATTCCTTTCATGTCAAAATGCATCATGGACACTCATGTTTTTACAGATCTTAAAAATTATCAGTTTAATGGCTCCATTTCGTTGATGAACCAATATTTTAAAACCGTTCCCCTAATGTTTAGGCAATGAGTTGCTGGACATTCTAGTTACATTATTTCATATTCCCTTCCCAACTCTTAATATGTGTATGTGATATTAAAGTTTTCACCATTGTTTGCAATCTGTTATTTTTGTTCTCCTGGCATTATTTAATATAAACTGCTCCTTTATTTAGTCACATGGTCCACTTCTCACTTTTAAGGGCTATATGATATTCTATATGTTACTGGTTAAGCAAGATGAAACAATCATATTGTCTATTAAGTGTCTTCTGTATATGACAAGCACTGGAGGTAAGAGATGAGCAAGGCATCATTCCTGCCCTCCTGGAAAGATAATAGAATCTATATCCAGAGTAGTAGGAAAAGAGAATGGGGAAAAAGAAACAAAAGGAGTGGTCAGTTCTACCCAGAAGAAAGGAAAGAGGAGGCCATCGGAAAAAGATTCAGAGGTGGTAATTCTATAATTTAAGACATATTAAGTAAGAGAAAGTATATAAAGTAGGCATTTTACTCTCTTGAGATTCATTAATACATTTGAAAAAGTAATGCCTGTTATGTCAAACACTGTACTTCCTCTTCATCATTATACAGTTCCTGGACTCGAAGGCCAATTGAACTAAATTTGGTGTGAAGAAAACTGAGGCAAGAGAAAAGGCTATAACCTTGGGTTAGGCAATGGTTTCTGAAACATGAAGAAAAAGAAAAAATAGATAAACGGAACTACATCAAAATTAGAAACTTTTGCAAAGATCACCACCAAGAAACTAAAAAAGACAATCCAGAGAATGGAAGAAGATATCTGCATATCATAAATCTGATAAGGGTCCGTATTCAGAATATATAAAGAACTCTTACAATTTAAATTAGATTGTAGTGATGACTGAACATCACTGAACAACTTTGTGAATTTTCTAAAAACATTGACTTGTATACTTTAAATTAATAAATTGTAAAGTATGTGAATTATATATCACTAACTTTGTGTTTTGTTTTGTTTTTAAGAATAAAATGTAGATACCAAATTAGGGTAGGAATCAATTCTTTGTTCAACTGTACTGGTAATAAAGCTAAGATCATATAAGATCTCAATTTCAGAGGGAGGGAGCAATTAGGGGGATCGTTTTATGAACTATACAGATGTCTAACCAATGTATTGTATACTTGAAACTAATCAAAATAAATTAATTAAAACATATAGATCAATTTTATTACTATATAATGACTCACTGACACAAGTACTTAGCTTTAAAATCTATTTTCAATTACTGTGACTTGTCATTTATAAATGAGATTAAGCAATTTTCTGTTTTTGATGATCAATAGTAAAAAAAGGAATAAAAATGGGCAAATGAAACCACTAACAGCCTTGAATATTACTTTGAAAATATTTGTGTTGCAAACTGTACCTGTGAAACTGTGATTTCAGAGATCATCTGAGATACTCTCACCTAACGAAGAAAACTCATCCTTATCTATGCCTGACCTGAAGAGAATACCCTATGCTGCTGCTACTGAGGAAGGACAAAAGAGAATTCAGGGCAGCAACTTTCTTCCAACTGTAAGACAAAATATTTAGATATCATCTTTGATAGGTGATCATTCTATTTCCTTTTCATGGAAAAGAATAAAGTATTTCAATATTAGAAAACTTTTTCAGAAAGAGCTAGGATTTGATTAGTCTTCGAATAAATTATTTGCTGGAAGAACCATGACTTTATCTATAAAAATAAATTACTGTAGGACTGAACCAAACATATTAATTAAATATTTCCAAACATCATTTTCAATGGAAATTAAGCAGGCTAACTTGAAACAGCAAAGTTGAAATATGTATTCTCATGGTTCTGAGATAACTCAAGTGCTGTACATTAAATACATAAAACACCTCTGATGAAAAATGCAAATGATGATTATGCATTGTGATGATTGTGTAAAAGGGGAATGAGATACCCTATACCTTCTTCCAGGTTTGAAACTTAGTATTCTTAACTTAAAGATGTCAAAGGGTAAACAATAAGGTACATTTCCTGTCACCAACCAATCAAAAAACATTTCTTTAGTTATGGTATTAGAAGCATCCTAAAGAGCTTCTGAAAAATACACATTCCTGAGTCTCAACTCCAAATTCCCAGAAACAGAATTTCTGAGATGGGGACTGAGCTTGTTAAAATGATTCTTGGGACACTGAGTCTGAAAAACGGGGCTTCTGATGTCTGCAAAGGATTGAGGGATGAGAAATAAACAATTATTGATATATTAAACTTTAAGAGTATAGCCACACTTTAAACTAACATTTAACCAAAAGGTTTATCAAAACTGAAAGGAAAATTTAGTACAACTTTAAAAGTTATTCTATGACTGAAGGTGGTAACTAGGGCTATTTGTATTGATACAGATGATTCTCAAAAATATAACGTTAAATGAAAGTTTAGAAGGTAACTTACTGTGAAATATGACTTACATAAAGTTTTAAAAACATGTAAAACAATGTCATACACAGTTTATGGCTATACACAAATATGTAGTGATAGCACAAAACATTCATGAAAATTATTAAACACCAAATTCAGGATGACAATTACTTTTGAGTTAGAAAGGATGGAAATAGAATCGAGGAGGGGTACAAAGGAGGTCTTCCATTGTCTATAATATTTTGTTCTATAAACAATAGATCTGAAGCGAAGTAGGCAAAATGTTAAGATTTGACAAGCTGGGTAGTATAGTCTGTTTATGCTTTCCTGTATGCTTGAAATATTTCAGTTTTTCTTTGATTTAAATATTCTGTGCTTATTTTAGAAAATACAGAAAGTTTATAAAAATCAAAATCCATTATTCACAATCCTATTACTGAGATTTCCTTCCATTCTTTTTAAAAATAATTCTAGATAATTGAGTTACATCACTTTATATTCAAAAAACATGACAATAAACTTAGATTCCTCTTACCTTCCTTTTATCAACATAAGTTTGACTCAGTTGTTTGATAGAATTGAGCAACTTCTTTCTCTCCGACGAGGAACTAAAATTATGACAAGATAAGCAAATCTATCATTATTTGCTTAATAATAATTGCTAGAGTATATAATAGTATATATTCAACTTTAGATTATCTACATTAATAGAAAGAGAAGTCAAATTAAAAGGAACGGTTAATAATTCAAATTTATTCCTCCTAGAAACTCTCCTTCCTTTGTTTCTCAGACATGAAATTCTCCCTCTAGGCTTCTGCCCTTGATCCTCTTCTCTCTTGGTAAATTCATATTTCAACATCTTCTACCAATCTACTGAATGCTCAATTTATACTTCAGACTTATTTTAACCTAATCGAAGTAAACATATACCCTCATAATCCTGGATTTGCATGGCTCATATAAGTGAAAACTCAAGATAGCACTCTGCATAGTGATAATAAAAAAAGACTTTTGAATCAGACAGAACTGGCTCGCATCTGCACATGGAATCTGCAAGTGACCTTGGAAAAGTCACTTAACCTTGCCTGGTACATTGATGTTCTCATCTGTAGCTTAGGGATGACACTATCCACCTTACAGGGCTGGAGAGGAATTAAACAGTGTGTACCGTGCTGGGGTTACAACACTCAGTTCCTGTGCTCAAGAACTGCAGGATAATTTTAACTATGATTACAGGTGCTATGGAAATTATTCCTGATTATAAATTCAATATTTATTCCATCAGCAGTGTTTTAACTATAAGAATCTAGGAGTTTCAAAGTTATCTAAATTGGCCAAAGATGTTATATACAGGAACATTATATTTGGTTAACAAAATGAGCCTTTGTCATATCAAAACAACTTTTGGAGAGAAATAATTATTTACTGCAATTAAGATATAGTCAAATCAAATGCAAATGTCTAGGATACAATAAAAGCCTTGGAAATGCAGGACAATATGAGACCCTTTGGCAGGGGTGTTTTTTGGTCACACGATCAGTCCATAAATGGACATTAGTGGTTATAGTGGTGATCTGCAAAGGTCCAAGTTTGACTTATGAGCACAAGACATGACTCATGAATGAATCAACTATATATGAAAGTTTTACCTTTATTTATACCTATCTTCCTTTGTTAGTAATCTCTCATAATGCTCCAATTTTGAGAAGAAATCTAATAGGAATTAAACAGTTCAAAATCCTGTAATTCATTATCCTGCTTTATTTACACTTACTAATTGGTCCAGTCATGTTAACCCAGCTGAATGTCAACAGAAGCAGCAGTCAAGGGGTTCATCTTTACTGATTTATTAGGTAATTAGATTGAAAAAATAAATCTGTTGCTAAAAGTCTTAGATAGACTTGGAGTCAGAAGTATTACAATTGGCTTCTATGTTGTACCCTGAGACCCATGGTACAAAATCAAAATCTAAGAATGATTTTCTTGGGATGTATAGAAGCATTATTACAGCTAATAAATCACTAAAGCAGCACATCTTGTGTTTTACTATTCCCCTATCCTCCTCATCAGTTTCATATAACAAACACAGGGAAAGGCCGGGCTTTGAGGACTTATAAACGAGCTATAACTGACTCAGATTAAGTACAGTTGCTCAGTCAAGCATAACCAGGAGTCACAGCATAAAATACCAAACCTAAACCCAACTTCACTGCCTAGTATTTTCCTGAGCTGATACTCAGTATTCATCAATTAGTTAAAAGCCCCAAAGAAACTATTCATAAAGAAATCACTGATTAAAGTATATAAAAATAGCCACCTGAAACCTAGAGGGTTTTTTTTGTTTTAGCAAAGGCTATAGCAAAATAAATACTTTAAAGATCTGTAGTAGTCATGGGCCAGGACAGTTAGACTAAATAAGATTTAATTTCTGTATTTCATCATTTCCGCAATTTAATGATTCTTACACTTATTTTGTACATTTAAAGTGACAGTTGCCTATTTCCTAGAAAAATCTTTTAAATTAATAGTTGATCATAAAATTGAGGAAATACAAGTACTTGTCTAAACTGGATTCCCTCTAGAAAGCAGGGTCTAGGACATGAACTTGCATACAGTTAATTTATTATAGGATGTGAATCCTGGGAATCAGAGTAGGGTACTAGGAAAGGTGAAACAGGAAATGAGGGGGAAAAAGTACAAAGGTACATTAGTAAGTTGGCTGCACTGGTACCACTGTGAACAACTTCAGCTGATCCCACTGGGATCTTCAAAGGAAGCTCTGTCCAGTAGAACATTGTCATGACAGAAATGTTTTATATCTGCCCTGCCCAACAGCGTAGCCACTAGCTGTAAGTGTCTATTGAGCACTTGAAATATGGCTAGCGTAACTGAGGAATTTACATTTTAATTAATTTAATTTAATTTAAATTAATTTAAACATGCAGGTAGTAGTTGCTATATAGGAAAACACAGCTCTGAGGAGCCCTATAGAATGCATCTTAGTTATAAGGCGGGCTGTGGTATATAGTATTCCTTTTGGAATTTTATTCATTTTGTTCACTCATGTGTCCCAAGTTCTTGGAAGAATGCCTAACACATATGAGCCCTCCATAAATATTTGTTTAGTAAATCAATAATATATGGGACAACAAAGTATATAGTTCCCTTAAAAAAAAAAAAAAAGACTCTATTAGAACAAATTCCACTCGATTAAAATAGTAAGCAACTATTAACATTAAAAAATCAGATTGTAAGGGGGACTTTGAGGGGATATAGGAGGCTGAAATGTGATTATGAAAGAAGCAAGATGAGGTCCACCAAGATTCTGATCCAAAGGACATTTATTAAAAGTCAGTCAGAGGTGATCTTTTTTCACAATCTACTTTCTTTCTTTTTCTTTTTCTTTATTTTTTTAAATGCCTACAGCATTTGGTATTCCTAGGTGGTTTCCCATCCAAGTGCTAACTAGGCCCGACCTTGCTTAGCTTCCAAGATCGGGCATATTCAGGGTAGCATGGCCGTAGACACAATTTACTTTCATTATCAATTATTAAGCAACAGTACATGAAGTAATTCAGTATAATCTTTTGTTTTGATTCTTTGGTTACAGTTACCACAAAAACACTTAGCTAAGTGGACTTCCAGAAGAAAAGACTGTATTTCACCACTGTTGCCAATTCTCTAAAAGAAATAGTCTCCAATTTAAGGAATAAATACTGCATCCTTAACTAAGATCTTTAAAGTAGACCCACACTAATCTAGACCCTAGAACCTCCAGCCATACTTAAGAATCTCTACCTATATAATTTATTAAGGGCTTATCATGTGCTAATCATTTGACATACATTATTATCCATTTCATAGGAATTGAAACTGAAGGGTAAATACCTTGTCCCAAATCATATAACTAAAAAGTACCAAGCTACTTTGGAGAGTGTCTTTAAATTAAACAGTGGGAATACATTCCCATCTTAAGATAGCTTGAAGAAGACCTAGAAATAGGTTCGATATAAGTTCAATGATTTTTTTTGCCAACATTTTTTTCCCTATCAGTTCTTACATATTTTCTGGTATGTATAATTCAATTAGTCTAAACTTGAGAGTAAAAAGTTGGTCACTACCAACTTCATGAAAGCTTGTGAGCAGAATTTGAAAAAATAGGAATCATTTAAAAACAAAAATCCTCGAGTAGGATCACTCAAAGTTGTTTACAGAAATATTAAACATAGGGTCTACATGGCAAAAACAACTGTTAACCAGCAGGCAGTGGGTTGTTTTAAAACACTTCCTAGATTTAAAAGGAGGACAGTTAATATCAGCAATCTTGGGCTTTGCCTCTCAATGATGAAAAAAGAAAAGTATGCTTGGATACAATGTGAATTTTATCATTCTTACCTTATACCAAGATTTTCAAGATGAGTCTCATTAAGAAAGGGCAGTAATGAACCTGTGATTTTCTCTTCTGTGGAAGAAAAGGGAAAAGAGATGAATGATTTCAGTATTTACAGCATATGCTTTCCAATTTCTTTCAATTTGAATCCATCAGAACTTGCTCAGATCAACATTTATTGAGTGCACCCATTAGAGGTAACAGACTGTACCAAATACCACTTTACAGATTTGCCACTGGGAAGGTCTTAATTTTAATTAGCCAACTATACCAAGAAGCTTTTTTTGATAAATCAGGTGAAATTTTTTAATTATTTGAGTAAATTATTTGCAAGAAAGTCAAGCTGCAAAACCAGTGCTTCCTTCTGAAATAGGTAAGGTTTGGGGTGGGAGTAGGGAA